TGCCTTTCCGCAAAGTTGCAAAAATAGCTTATAACTAGTCCAGTTTGGAAATACCAGGCAAGCCTAGTTACAAGAACCGAGATGTAAAGAGAGTTTCACAGAAACTTTTAAACTCCCTATCTACTATATTTTCTGGTTTATATCATTCTGGTTTATTTTGTTTTCACAGATATTCATGTTTCTTTGTTATGCTTTGTAGAATAAAAATCAAGATAGACTTAAGTGTTTTTGTTTGCCAGTTCCTCCTTTTGTTTCTAGATTGTAAATTCCACACTGAATTTTGAAGAGAAAAAAAGCACCCATGATTTTTCTTCTCTTTAACTATGGTCAATATAATTGACAAACTCCTCTAGGAAAATTAAGCAGGCAGCTTTTGAATGCAAATGTTTATTCTGAATAAACATTTCATTTTCATGAACATTCACTAAAATATTGCTATAAAATTCCTTGTCTAAGATTATAAGATTTAATTTAAGAACATTTCTTCCTTCTTTCTTTGCATCCCATATGGGCCAGTTACCCCACAATTTTCTGAAACTTACATATTACCAAAGGTTAAAAAAAAAGATTTGAGGTAGAAATAGAATTTGTTTCTCTTATTATTACATTAATCTCTTAGTTCGGATGTTTACAATTTCTATTTTATATTCATATTTTGCATTAATTCCGATTAAGCAGAAACAGACAAAAATTCTAAACATCTCCAGCTTAATGAATGACATCTAAGCTGTTTCTAAGCTTAGATGTCTAAGCTGATGACATCTAATGATATTCAGCTGTCTCACCTGAATCCTATTATCTGAGGCTATGCTATCTCAGATAGAACCTGGCCTAACAGTTTGAGAAAAACTCCCTTGCATCAAACTTGCTTAGTGAATCCACAGAAGCACCCATGCACTTGTCTTGACTACTATTGTGAAGCCAACCACCTTCATAATCCTCCAGAGAGTTCTGGAAACTGCAGACATTCCCAATACACGTAAAACCTCCTGAGGAAAATGCTAAACTTAGCAGGTAATAACTAAGACTACCCAATCCCTCCCCATTTTTTGAAGTGCAAGAAAGAAGCAACATGCCAAGAGTAGGAAAGGGAGCTAAGGAACATTGCTCCTGACCCTCTGATTAAAGTTTGGATTCTATTAGAATTCAAGGAAACGACAAGAAATATTTCCTATAGTAATCCTTTTATTTCTAAGGATTAGGTACCCAATTGAGCTGGAAATATTGCAAAAGATTGCTTGGCAAGGGTGTAGCCAGTGATGGGTTCCTACTGGTTCAGGCTGGTTCGGCCAAACTGGTAGTGGTTTGGCAGCCTGGGTTGCTGGAACCGGCAGTGACCGATGTCTGCTACACCCCCGAACTGGTTCTCTGGGTGGCAGCAGCACCACCTTGTTGTTTGCTTCTGCGCATGCGCCGAACAATTTTTATTGCACTGTGCATGCACATGCAGTGTGCCCACTAGTGAACTGGCAGTAGTGCCTGCCAGAACCCACCCCTGGGTGTAGCCATTTATGCTTTCTGGCTTCTGATTGTTTCTGCCTTTTTGCTGTATTTCTCCATGCAGGATTAATGATGTTGTACCATAAGTAACATACTAATACAATCTTAACTTTTCATGTATATAACAGAATAACAGAGTTAAAAAGGACCTTGGAGAACTTCTAGTAAAATCTCCTGCTCAAGCAGGAAACCATATACCATTGGAGACAAATGGTTGTCCAATCTCTTCTTTAAAATCTCCAGTGTTGGAGCATCCACAACTTTTGGAGCCAAGTTGTTCCACTGATTAATTGCTCTAACTGTCAGAAAATTAATCCTTAGTTCTGGGTTGGTTCTCTCCTTGATTAGTTTCCATTAATTGCTTCTTGTCCTGCCTCCAGGTTCTTTGGAGAATAGATTAACTCCCTCTTCTTTGTGACTGCCCCTTAGATATTGGAACACTGCTAACATGTAACCTCTAGCCTTTTTTTTTCCATTAAACCAGACATCCCCAATTTCTGTAATTGTTCTTCATATGTTTCAGCCTCCAGATCACTAATCATCTTTGCTGCTCTTCTCTGCATTCTTTCTAGAATCTCAACATCTTTTTTATATCATGGCGACCAAAACCAGTGCAATATTCCAAATGTGGTCTTACCAAAGCATTATAAAGTGGTATTAACACTTCATGTAATCTTGATTCTATTCTTCTGTGAATGCAGCCTAGGATAGCATTGATGTTTTGGCAGCTGCTGCACACTGCTGGCTCATATTTAGGTGATTGTCCATTAGGACTCAAGATCCCTCTGGCAGTTACTACTATTGAGCCAGACATCACTGCGGCGTTGTTGCCACACTGGAGGGCCGCTCATGTATCTTCGCCTAATCAAAAGGAAAATACCAGACAGAATTCCTCAGGATGAGCCAGCTTCAAATGAACATCAAAGGTCTCTTTTATTAGAAAAGTTAGTTACAGCGTCATCAAAAAGGAGCGTATCAAAAGGCATATATAATCACACATGNTTCAGTCTCCCCTTTGTGGAGAAGGTTGTAGAGAAGATGATTGGATTGTTGCTACACACACAATCTTGGAATAAATGAATTATTTGAACCCATTACAATTAGTTTTCAGGCATGGGATAGTACAGGGACAGCAAGGATCATGCTTATCAATGACCTTTGGCAAAACCAGTTGGGCCCCGCCCCATCTATTCTCTGCCTCCCGAGTTGCAGCTGATCGGGAGGGAATGGGGATTTTGCAGTATCCTTCTCCTCGAGTGTGGTGGGAATGGAGATTTTACAGTATCCTTCCACTGCCACGCCCACAAAACCATGCCCACCGCCATGGCATGCCCATCAAGCCACGCCCACAGAACTGGTAGTAAAAAATTTTTGAATCCCACCACTAGTGGGGATGAGGTAGCCATTCTTGTGCTCCTTGATCTCTCAACAGCATTGATACTATTGATCATGGCATCTATCCAGAGGTAGTATTCAGCCAGTTCTGAGCAGAAATATTGAGAGTGGAGAGGAAATAGGGATTTTGCAGTATCCTTCCCCTGCCATGCTCACAAAGCCAGGCCCACAGAACCGATAGTAAAAAAAAAGAATCCCACCACTACATCTATCCTTCTGGACCATTTTGGGAATTTGGAGATGAGGCGTTGTGTTGCAGTAGTTCACTTCCTTCCTCAGTGATCATTTTCAATGTCAGTCCTTCAAGGCAGGACAACAGAGTTATGACTGCTAATATTACTTTATTATAAAGTTCTGGTAACAGAATCTTGGAACTCTGAATGCAATTCTCACAAGATTCAGTGGCTGGGAGTTGGAGTTGAAGTGTATACATCCTCCAGTTGTCAACGTTCTGAAACTTTGCCATATAGGAAGGAATATGATCATATTTTTATGGACCATTTGAACAAGGATAGGGTAGGGGTGATACATATATTTGGCAGGGATGTTCCTTTGTTTTTATAAAGGAATAAATTAAGCTGGGAGCAGGTTAAAAGTCACAGATGTATTGTAAAAGCCACTTGAGAGTCTCATTTCTGCTTTCAGCTCGTTAGGTTTTCATCCAGTTCTCCAGAGGGCAAACTTTGTAAAACCTTGCATTGTATTGTACTTTCTCCTTTCCTTGTCGTTGCCATTCTGTCATTCATTTCTATGGAAACAGCAGAGATTGAACCTAGCAAAAACTCTTGATCACAGCCATTGCCTTTTTGGTTACAGTTTCCATGAGAACAGATGTTTGGTCATTGAAAAGGGGGGGATCTGTAACTGAGCTTTTGGTTGAGAGATAAAAAGATTTGTACTCAGTTTGCACCCTTAGAATTCTCAAAAGTAGGTTTCCAGTGACTTTTGCTTGTTTTAGTAGTGTTCTCTTAGGAGTGAAGTCACATCACTTCTAACACTTGTGAGCTAGGAACACAAGGGTAGTAATAAAGTTTCTAAAAAGTCCTGTATGTACTTTGATGTTTTGAATAACATCAAGGTGAGAGTGTAAACACTTCAGGCCAAAAGATAGGTCAACCATCAGTAAAGTGCTTCTCCCAATAAACAATATATATAAGAAAGTGTCTCCCCACTGTGCAGCTTCCCAAATCTTGCAGCACAAAGGTGGAAGAATAAGATCTTGCCAAAATGATTTCAAGAAAATATGCATTTTTAAAATAAAACCTAAGCAAATGCATCTGGAATATAATGCAAACACAGTGTCTTCAAAGTGCAACTGTTGAATCCCAGACATGGCAATGCCATGTAAAAAATCATTGGGGAGATTGGCATTCTATTTATTGTACAGGTAGCGTGTTATGTAACATATATGTAAGTCAGCAGGTTTGAAGTAGTATTATGCCTTTTAAAATATCAAGTTGGTGAAAATAACATTGACACCTGATATCAGAGATTGTAGTAGGGTAGTGTGGATAGCAAAATAAATAAACATGGGGCTGCAATGAGTCAGTGGTGGTGCAGTGATTACAATGCAGTATTGCAGGCTAACTTTGCCATTACCAGGAGTTCAATTTTGAGAGGCTCAAGGTTGACTCAACCTTCCATCCTTCCCAGGTGGTAAAATGAGGAATCAGATAGTTGTTGGGGGCAATATGGTGCCTCTGTAAACCGTTTAGAGAGGGTTGTAAAGCACTGTGATGCGGTATGCAAGTCTAAGTGCTAGTGCTATCAAGGAAACAAAAAAAAATCTATATAAAAAACCTGTGATAACAGTGTAATACAATAGAAACATGTAAAAAAAAAAAGAAAAAGATAAAAATATGGTCTGGAGCACTATATCACTAACAAAGTAATCCACACCTGCAACATACAGTTGCAAGAAAAAGTATGTGAACCCCTTGGGATTATGTGGAGTTTTGCATGAATTGGTCATAAAATGTGNATTCCATTGAGGTATATTATATTTGCAGGCATCTCCTTCTGATTAGAACATTCCCTTCGGTCTACTTCTATGATGCAAAGCAAGGCAGGAGGCGAGCGCCTTGTTTGGTTGCTCTGGAGCTCACCTGGACTTCACAGGCCGCCTGCAAATGGAAGACCTTGTAGAAGGCTTCTTCCACTGTGTCTCCAAGGGTCACCAGGCCATGATTCCGGAGCACTAAAACCTGCCCAAAGAAATAGCAAGAAACAGGTTCTGATACAAACAGCTAAAGAAGATGAATATGTATCTGCGATATGTATCCTGGGGGAGGGCCTTCTCTGTGGCTGCTCCGGCCCTCTGGAATGATCTCCCTGTTGAGATCCGGACCCTCACCACCCTTCCGGCTTTCCGCAAAGGAATTAAGACCTGGCTGTTCCGGCAGGCCTGGGGCTGTTGAATTTTTCAGCCCCATCCGAGGTTATGACTGTTGTTGTTTTTAAATGTGTCTGTCTTTTTATTTTTTATTCTGTACCCCCTTCCCTTTCTGATTGTTAGCTGCCCTGAGTCTCTCGGGAATAGGGCGGCATACAAACTAAATAAATCAAATCAAATAAGTTCTTCTCAATTCCATACCTCTCCCACGTTCTCATGCAAGGAAGTATAAATCCCAGTTTGGGCAGAGATTTAGTTGACATCCAAGATTGCATCAGAACTCAAAGCCCCCCCCCCCAGGCCTCACCTTGCAGGTGGGTCCAAGGCATTTCTGCAACTCAATTCTGTCTGCCTCTCCCTCCATCTCACCATTGAAGTCAAAATACACCATGTCACCTGCCAGCAATGCATCATGGGAAATTGGCAAGAGGCCTTGTTTCATTGCGGAGACCTGTGAGGGAAGGAAAACAAAGATTTCCCTGTTTTGGCTGCACATAAAAAACTCTCTACATGCTCCGAATGCATTTCCAGATCAAACAGAAAACTATCCAGAATGAAACTCTCCTCCTTTCTTTACGTTAAAATACCTGCAAGATGCAAACAGAACCATTGACCAAACTGACTTGGAGTTGCAAGCCCTCCATACCTGGAGGGCAGCTAAGGAAGAAAAGTTGTCCTACAGACATGGGCCAGCGAGAGAGGCCTCCTTTTCTAAGCACCCCATGAGGGCCTCCTGTTGGAAAGAGGGGCAAAGCAAGTGGCCGTCAAGTCCCTTCAACATTCCCATCCTTGAGGGCTTCTTCCCAGAGGCTTTCTCCTCCCTTCCGGATGTTACCCCTGCCTCCCTTCCGGGTTCCTTGCTTGGTGACGTCCCAGGTGCTCCGGTTCCTCCTTTCCCTTCAGAGGCTGCGTGGGGCTCTGCCCTCTACAGAGCATTTCTATACCAGCTCTGGGGCGACATCAACGTCTAGCTTCACACACTGCATTACCTCTGGATTGCCCACTATCCCGGCTGGCTCACACAACCCACACAAAACAGATCTACAGTGTAACACAAGGCACGGCAATGCATGATACAACTGTGAGAGTTGCATCTGGCTGGAGGAGTCCAGGGGTGAAGGGAAATGGGATGGAGGGCATCTCTGAGAAGATGCCTGTCTTGTCCATCCATACACCTGGAGCTTTGCTGTGTCTCAGCATGTGCTAGATAGATGGACACCCGTCCCGTTCCCCCCATCCCTGCCCTTACTGCGGTCGTGGCTGGTGTGTGCAGATGGATGATGCATCTCACATCAGGCCGAGCCGCGTAGATGGCCGAGTGCAGGCTGAATCCTCGGGGGTCGACTGGAAAACTGGTGCTGCCTTGCTCCACCACCTTCCCCAGGATGTTCACTTTAATCTGTGAAGTAAAAGGGGAGGGGGGAGGACATCTGATGAGAGGACGGGCCCCTTCCTCGGCTGACGTCTACAGAGAAGCTTCCTTCAGCCAGAGGGAAAAGAAGCAAGGAGGTCTGAGGTGATCCCGGGATCCTAAACTCATCTCAAGCTTACAGAAAAACCAGCCTGTGGCCTCTCTGGATGTGCCTCCCCTCTGGGCTTGCTGACCTTCAATGATTGTTGGTGTACCCAGCGTATGTCTCCACGCAAAGTGGAACACCTCTACTTCAGCAGAGGCTACCCCGGCCCCTCTGGGTCTGTCCCACTCCCTCTCAGTTAGAGAGATACGACTGCTGAATAATGTCCCTTAGGCTCCCTCCTCCTGGCTCCTCTGTAGGAAGAGGACTCCTCTCCTCGCCTCAGCAGGCATCTCCCTTTCCATTATTTTCTCTGTGTTTTATATCTTAACTTTGTTATATCCTACCCAGCCCCCAGGATGGAAAATTTGAATTGGCCCAAATGTTCCCTCTTCTTTGCCCCTGGTCCATGCATGGGAGATCTACTCAGGACAGAGTCTGCCATCCAAAAAAGATCTCTGAAGGGAGGGGGGAGAAGTCACCTACACGCGAGGCTAACATAGTACACTTGTGCACCCGTCTTCCAAGGGGCAACCTGTCAGTGAAATTCTAGAGAGGATTTTGTCACCTGTCCCTGTTTTCAGGATGAGCAGTTTCATTCCAGACAGGCTGCTCTTTAAAGGCAGCTGTGAGCGAAAAAATACAGCTGGTTGCAAAACTCCAACCTGCAGTCGCGGGAACAGAGCTTGACCCAAGAGTTTTGCATTCTCACCAAGCTGGATGCTGTAACTTCATGACAGGAGAGGCCTTCGGGACAAACCAGGAAATGCTCCTGTTCTTTGCTGACTCTCAGCTGTGAAAGGAAGGAAGAGTCAATTTCTCCTTCATTCATTGGTTAAGAACATAAGCAGCGCCCTGCTGGATGGGATCCCTGGACCATTTTGTCCAGCAGTTGTCACACTGGCTGGCCAATCGGCAAAGGAAGCCCACCGATCTTCCAGCAGATGGCTCTGGAGGCGGCTCCCCTGCCCTCAAGGCTAAGAGCCATTAATCCCCAGAACTTCAAGGAACTGCTTATTCCAAGAAATGTGTGTGTTCAATTTGATGCCCTTGTCATGGTCAGATCACTTCCTGCTGAGACTTGATTTTCGGAAGCTGCTCCCCCACTGCAGGGAGGTGGGGCCGATTAAATGGTTCCGCCCCAGGTGCCTGACTCCCTTGCCCACAATCCGACTGAGTCCTTGGTCGCTGCCTGGAATACAGCGGCGGCTGAGGCATTAGATCGGCTTGCGCCTTTGCGGCCTCTCCGCGGCAGTGGATCCAGGAGAGCAGCTTGGTTTACCAAGGAACTCCGGGAGATGAAGCACCAAAAGAGACGCCTGGAGCGACGCTGAAGGGCTAATAACTCCGAATCTGACCGAACACTACTAAGAGCCTTTATTATGACTTATTTAGTGGCGATACGGGTGGCAAAATGTACTCATTTTTCCGCTCTTATTGCATCCACAGAATCTCACCCGGCCACCCTGTTTAGGATAACCCGCTCCCGCCTGAAAGGAAGGGATGCGGGGGAACCCTTACAGGGAAGAGCTGAGGAATTTGTTCAATTTCTGTCGGACAAAGTTACTCAGATTCGGACAGACCTGGACTCCACTTGGGCAGTGCCAGCAGAGATGCCGAGGGAGGGCCTTGATCAAATTTTGTGGAGTGAGTTCCAGCTTGTCACTCCTG